ATTATGACATCAATCATAACTGCAATAGATGTATGTTGTTAAAAGTATGCCTATTGTCTATATTGTAAATGAAGATAGATAGATAGATAGATAGATAGATAGATGGATAGATAGATAGATAGATAGATGGGGTTATTAAGCCTACATTCTTTTGTGTGACTGTACCTGCAGTTCCTCCCTGACTTCCATCACTTTCTCTCTCTCTCTCTCTCTCTCTGCCTGTCCTGTCTCTTCCTTACCAAAGCTGAGCTTCGACTGGCATAGTCTTTTCATTATATCTGAGTCAGTGTAAAAAGAAAACAATACAATGTTATATCTTCAATGTTTACTCAAATTGAAATAAAAGAAAAGCATTACAACGTTTGTTAAAAGGTAATCCTTCTGGCATTGGATGAATGTAATTAACTTTAGCTCTCTAGCTACAGTAGTTTATTCACGCAATGTAAACCAAAGTATAGCCTATAGCTGCAATATAAGTTAGTGTGCATGTTGTCGGACGTCCACTGACTAACGTAGAGCGTTCACACTGGATCTGCTGGTCATATGATGTCCTGTGAGGAACAGAAACACAAGCAGCCCACTGGACTCACATCTCTAGATACCTCATCACTCCTCCGCTGCTCCGATACAAGTCCGGGCTGCGGTGGTTTGTTGATACATGTCGTCTTCTTCTGTTTGCTTTAATCAAGGCTACGTAGTTATGCAGCGCCCCCAATGTCAGTAAATGGAAGTACTACAAAGAACCCCGTTTAGTGCCGTTATTTCATACGTTTTTTTATACGCAGCTCGGAAATAATTACCGAGGTCCGGACCCCGGTGACCTCAATGGTGGATACGGCCCTGACTGTGCCTACATTCGAGATGTGGCTGAGAGAGTTGGGTGAGATCCTCTACCTGGAGAAACGTAGGCCCCACTCACACGGGAACGTTTGCGTTTATGCACAGTATGCGTATTCAAAAAAGTCTTCCGTTCACATGCATTCGTTTCATTTAACGTGTCTGTTCAAACGAGGCCGCTGGAAACGCTGTAGTACATATGCCGGGACTGTAAGTGGCGCTGTAACTTCCGCCAAAATACACCAAAAGCAGCGAAGAAGAGCAGCCCGAGCAGCCCCGCAGCAATGTTGCCATGGCTACCCTTCTGTTTAAGCCCCGCGGTGTATTTAGCAACATGTAGTTCATGTAATTCTCCATGTCCACTTGTTGCTGATGGTTGTGGTAGAGGAGCTGTAGATTTTGCACTAATATCTGTAGCATGGTCAGTAGCAGTAGCACTAGCAGTAGCTACTGACAGGAGGAAGTGTGTGTGGTGATTGCTGGTATTCAGCGGGATATAGTCATTTCCTCAGCATATGGATAAATGCAACGGGGAAGTTAACTGAAAGAAACCGAATCTGTGGATATTGCATCGACCGACCAAGAAGCACGTCTCTGTGGAGAGGACGCGCTCAGAAAGAGAGATATTCTCTACAAACACCGGGTGAGATCGCTCCTTTGTCAATATAATGGATCAATGCATGAAATCTGACTCTGTTTATTTTGTTTAAGGAGTATATTGGGCGTTAACAATTCTGGTTTGCCTTTTATAATATTATTTCATTCAAGAACCCCTTGTGCGTTTAATTAACACAGCTATTTTTGATAGTTGATCGTTACAGATGGCGACTGGCCATGCTACAGCAGTGAGCAAGAGAGGCGGGGCTATCGCTATTTTTTCAGGAAATATTCGTATAGAGGTGATTACACAGACTCGGTTGACCCCCCAGAGCGTTTCGTTTGCAAATCTATCCACCTTGGGACCCGTTATCGTTTGTGGGGTCCGTTTCTATCGGCCTCGTGTAAATAATAGGGCTATACGCACGCGAAACTATGCAGATACAAGCAGTTTTCTCCTCGTGTAAACGGCGCCTTAGATTCAAGAATGCAGGAAGGGGGAGAGTGTTTGATAAGGCCTGGGCTCCAGTGATGAGACACTTAAGAGGTCTGGGTGAGGATGAAGGTGTGGGATGAATGATCAATAATGTTAATCCTGTAACTTTTATCTTGTTGTTTTTTTTGTTTTTTTTTCAATTTGCTATGTACATTTTTTATTTTTCCTGATGTGCTCTCTTGGACTGCCCTCTTGTTTCTGGCATGAATATTGCATTTCTTGTTATCTCGCCCATGGATGTGTTTTAAAACCGCCAACAGCCTAATTGTACTAGTATGTTCTGAATCCGCTGTTTTGTTGTTACTGAAAATGGAAAATATGATTGCTTTGATATATCAATGCGGTTGGTACAACACATTTCTGCAATAAAAATATTATTATTAAAAAAAAAAAAAGAACATGTTAAAACATGTTAAAACACAGGCAGTGGGCTGTAAGGAGCAGTAAGGTCAGTGTTGGCAGAGCGTCTCCCCATCCCATTCAAATTCTTGACTGAAAGAGCAGTGTTGCCTACAGTACATGTAAATGGATAGCATTGCCTATATGCATTTGAAAATAATTAGTACCCCCCTCTGAGTGACTACGTGTTGAGTTCACATCTTGACTTTACTTCCTGATTTTTGGAAGACAAGACTGACCCAAGATACCTGTACATAGTGGAAAGTGAAATTGACATTGTCAAATTTAATAAAAATACTAAATAATGTTCACATTTGGGAACCGATTGGAAACATAGGACTCAATCTTTTGCTTCACATTGAGGGGAAGAGGCATTTTCCCATTGGTCCCAGTCCAGTTGGTTCTTTTCACCATTCTCCCATATGTTACAAATGGCTGTCTAGCCCTGTTTGTTTTTTTGACCTTTCAGATGTTGTTGTATAGCCTCTGGAGCAGAAATGAAAGAGTTTTAAAAATGTTTACGTTTTGGTAAGTTTTTAGGGAAATGTTGTAATATTGCAACGTTGGCCTTAGGTGGGAGCAGAATTTCTGTATTTCTACTCACATTGTCTGAATAAATATATTGAACAACTAAGGGTTCATTTGCAGGATTGATTGCTTACTTAGCCCTATATCAGTATATAGCATGAATAATAATCACACATCAGTCATATTTGTTATGAATAATCATTTATCATTTATTAAATAGTAAGTCGCTTTGGATAAAAGCGTCAGCTAAATGCAATTTATGAAAGCCTCACTCAGGATTTTTTCACTCAGAAGTGTTTTTATTGCTCTTGGGGCATTAAAAACAAGATTTTAACTTGAGTTTTTTATATAATATCTGCATTTTCTCTTTTGAAAAACTAAGTCTTAGTTTGGCCATAGTTATTTAATATATAAAGACTATATATTATTGAATTACAAGATTAGATATACTTTATTTGATCTAAAATATTGATGTGTTCAAATGCTCTTCTAAACAAAACTGAAAGTCCATGAAAAGCTGTCTTCCTGTATTTGTGAATGAAGCGCCATCTCCTGGTTAAATCCTGAAATTTAAAATCTGGCAACGCCCTCTTGGAAAATAGTGGGAGGGCTTAACATTCCCAGATACTGGTCTTTGGCAGGTCTTAGGCAGGTAACTGGCAGGTAGCAGGCAGGAAGCTGTATGCTGGAGTCTGAAATAAACTGCTCCATCTGTACAGGCCCGGCATATGTACTACAGCGTCTCCAGCGGGTCGAGCGGTCTCGTCTGGACGGACACGTTTCTTGAGCCGATTCCGTGTGGACGGAAGACTTTTTTGATATCGACTAACCCCTAGATTCCACCGGGTCCGTCTGCGCCGCGTTACGGCTGCGCCGCGGTTTTGGTCCGGCCTCCTCCGGCATCATACCCTACCAGGCGCGTTTCAGAAGCATTTCAGAAGCGGAGCGTCTTGCCTGCCGGCTCGCAGTTTTTGTTGATTTGGGCATATTTCCTGGACAGGCTACTTTGTACAGACAAAGTTAATAATAACTGTAATATTCCTGTTATAAACGACATGAATCAAAGATGTGTTGCTGTATTTTAGTGGTAAAAAAATGCATTCATCATCATAATTATTCTATATATATAATTTACACAGTGCCTGTAAACCGGAGGAGAACGCTGGCATTTCTCCTCCTACTTGAAAAACTACGGAGGGATAGGGTCTGCAAAATTAGTTTGTGTGTGTGTATATATATATATATATATATATGCTATATGCTCTGAACGTTCCACTTCCTGCCTGCCCGACCTTACGTTACGGCTGCGCCCCGTCAAAAATAGGATTCATCCTCATTTTAGAGGAGCCCTGCGCCGAGCCGCTTCTGGGACGCTTCTGGGACGCTTCTGGGACGCTTCTGGGACGCTGGGACGCTTCTGAGCCGTAACGCGCCGCGTGTGGTGGAATAGCACCCATTGACTAGAGTGGCCGCGATCGCCGTGAGCGCCGCGAGCGCCGTGAGCGCCGCGACGCACGGCGGACGGACCCGGTGGAATCTAGGGGTAAGGTTTGTTTTCGTCTCCGTGTAAACATAGCCTGATTGTGTTGATTGTTGACTGCTCGGTTGGTTGACTGAAGGATTTGTGGCTCAAAGATTAGATGACTGTTTGCTGGCTGCTTTGTTATCTGATTGAACGACTGTTTCTTTGGATGGCTGCTCTGTCGCCATTGTGTCTCCATGGCATTACTCTTTCTGTATAATATTATTTATCTGGGATTAGGAAAACACAAACAGTGTTTATTAGCCTTAACTCACAGAAACCACCACAGGCAGATCAGCTGATGATGTCATGCCTTGCTCTGATTGGTTGGCCCTGACTTCCTCCTCCCCCTCCCTCTCCCTCTCTTCATCACCCTGCCTTCTTCTCTCAGTCATCCGCCTCTATTCAACAACACCCACCTCTCTCTCTCTCTCTCTCTCTCTCTCTCTCTCTGTCTCTGTCTCTCTCTCTCTCTCTCTCTCTCTCTTGCGCCTCCTCTTTCTGTCCCTCTCCTCTCCGTTACACTCTGCTCCTGCCAGGAAGCTGATGCTGATGCTGATGATGTGACATTGTGGCCAGCCAATGCCGATAGCAGGAGAGTGGGGAAGGGGTGTGTTCAGAGGCTGAGCTTGGGTGAGATCGATGCTGCTGAGGAGACCACGGAAGAAGAAGGAGAAGAGAGAGAGGTAGAGGAGGGTGGGGGAGGCCTTGTCCGAGCTAAGGAGCGCCAGCACTGGCTTATTAAAAGAGGAGAAGAGGAGGAAGAGGAGGAGGGAGGGAGAAAGCTGTCGCATGTTAGAGGGGTATCAACCTGTGCTGTCATGGACAAATATCGACCAAAGAGACCTACCACCCTGGCTCTGTTCCCACAGCGGCCACAAGCCGGCACCCAGGTAGGAGTTTGGGAGGATCCCTGCTCTGAGACGGCTACAGTGTGTGTTAATGTGTGTGTGTGATCAGGCAGCTGTGGCATCAAGTGAAAATGGGTTACTGTGTGTGTGTGTGTGTGTGTGTGTGTGTGTGTGTGTGTGTGTGTGTGTGTGTGTGTGTGTGTGTGTGTGTGTGTGTGTGTGTGTGTGTGTGTGTGTGTGTGTGTGTGTGTGTGTGTGTGTGTGTGTTTCCTGGGTGGATCATTTTTGATGAGGCAGCAAAGGATAACATTGTATCAGTGTGTGTGTCTGTTTGTGGCAGTGGGTCAGTTTCTGAAAATGGATGAACTCTAGCTGTACATTTCCTCAGTAAAAAGGCTCCTGCATTGTGTATTGGCGGCAGTATTCCTGGGAGAAACACATCATGTTTGTGTATCCCCCAGTAGGTGGGCAGCTGGGAGTTCATTGGCTTGCTCAAGGACACGTTGACTGACTGGCTGTGTGTGGATTGACCCTCATTGCGCTATTAAATAGGAGCCTTCAAGCTGTTCTGCCATCTTGTGAAATACACATGTGTAAGGATGGGTCAGTTGTTACAGAGAAACAGAAGAAGAGGATAATGCAAAGCCAAGTCAAAAAAGGTCTATAAAACAAGTCTGGATGATAGTGAGGTTCCTGGCTCAGTGAGGATGGTCTCTGGAGGGGGCCAGCAGGACTGAGTGGCTCTCACTCCGCAGTATATGCCTGTGTATTCCTTTAAATTAGCTGCATCCTGTTTACTGTGAGCAGATCAGAGGAGAGTCTGTTACCCTAACCTGGGTTTCCATTCAGCATCAACATCCAAATCTCAATATAGGGAGGTGCTTATGTCCATTGGAACATCAAATAAAATCAGTGTTGTTGTGTCAATACTGAGACAACAGAAATATGGTGTTGATTTGGGCAGATATTAAACAAACTATACTTATAAATATAGACATGTTGCATGTAGAATGAAAATGCACAACATACTGTTGAGAATTGTAAGTTTTGTTCTCATAGCTAAATACTGGATAATATTGCCGATGGCCAGACACATTTGCATTTATAGAATCTTAAAGAGAGAACAGAAATGTGTTCAAAATGTCTCATCTGCTCTGTGTGTTGACATTAATAGCTGATGATCTTCATTACATTACATTACATTGCATTGCATTTAGCTGACGCTTTTATCCAAAGCGACTTACAATAAGTGCATTCGACCAAGAAGATACAAACTAGAAGAAAACAGAATCATATAAGTACATCAGGTTTCATAGAGCCAAAACATTTCAAGTGCTACTCAACTGGCTTTAGATAAGCCAGTTCTTTATTAGTATATAAGTGCTTTGTTAGCAATTCTCTGTTAGTAATTCTATCGCTCGAAGTGGAGTCGAAAGAGATGAGTTTTCAGTCTGCGCCGGAAGATGTGTAGGCTTTCTGCTGTCCTGATTTCAATGGGGAGCTCATTCTTCATTCTCATTCACCTATAAATGCATAAAGTACAAGCTTGTTATGTGTATTTCTTATTAAACAATTTAATTGGATGGTTGACAGTTTAATGTTATTTAATATGTTTCATCCTAAAACAGGAAATATTGAAACATGACAACAATAGTCAAACCCAACCACGGACTGTTGCTCCTAATAATCTTCTCAGTGAGCAGTCAGGTGTAGAGCAGGCTCAAGCAGCTTTTTTGTTTTGCTCTTTCAGAGTTAGTGGGTTAAAGGGCTAAAAGAGGGCACTTTTAATAATAATAAATAAACATTTATTTTTTACAAACAGCAATACATCGGCATCGGTAACTTGTATATATATATATATCAGTCGTCAGGGCCAGCAAGGCCTTCTCTGGCCTAAACACTATCAGAATCCCTGACTAACCTCATATCGTTTTTACATTAACATGTATTGAATGATTTCTAATAGTCTGTTGTCTTCAGTTCATAGCTTTTCTCTGTGTTGCTCTCGGTTGCGCTGCGTCCAGCAATGGTTGTTAATGTTGGAGATTTTATCCAATCATATTTCAGTCAGAATGTGTTGCTGGGTCAAAGAGATCTTTCCTGAGGCCTTCAGAATCAACAGTGCGGGCCTTGTACGATGACGTCTGCATTTTCACGTCCTCTGATTGGATTGTCAGAGCTAGTGAACAGTGTATAGCATGTGTAGCGACCGGTAGTGACCTGCTAGCAAATGGCATCTGTAGCGTCCTTAGCAACCTATACAATCTAAATAGCTTTTGTGTAAATATTAAGACCCACAATGGCTGACAGCGGAGGAGAAATTGATTTGGTGAAGCTAGCAAGTCTGTCGCAGCCCAGACTTGGAGTACTCGAGGCCTGGACTCGGACTCAAGTGCCAATTTTCAGGACTAGTGACTCGACTCGGACTTGTGCAGTGATGGACTTGAACTCTAACTCTTGAATTCTCCCACACTGTTGGTCTCGGACTTGAACTTGGACAACGTGTAATTTCATGAGCAGGAGTTCACTGTTTCATGGTCACTGTTTGAAATGCTGTTCCACTGTTAAAATCATCTCAATTACGTTCTCACCAACAATCCATATAAGGAAATGAAACAACCACTTGAACCCCAAGAATGAATAATATTATATATTTATGTTTATGGCCCATCCCTAATAAAATAAAAGTCATTCAGTAGAGTGAGGGTTTAGTTATGTCAGTGGAATGTTAATGTCTTTTCAGTTTCTATGGATTTTGCAACCACTAAATAAAACGTTTTTATTTGTAAAGCAGCTCTTTGAAGGCAGTCTTGGAACTCGACCCAACCTGGATGATAATAAGCCTTATATTTGTATAGCACCTTTCATACAAAAATTGCTGCCCAAAGTGCTTCACAGCAGTTATATAGACAGAATAAAAGCAATGCAGAAAATAAAAGGATAAAAGCAATGTAGACAATAACAAATATTGATTGATAATAACCAAACCAACAGCTACATTTAAACAAATATATCCACTCAGATGACTCAGACTTGTGAATCGGACTCAGACACGAACAGAGGCAATGATGACTTGACTCGGACTTGACTCAGACTCCTGTTGGGTGACTCAGACTTGGATTCGGACACGAGCACAGGTAGTAATTCTGATTACACGTCTGTTTGTTTCTCAACCATTCTTTGAGTTGACCTTTAAAGCTATTGAGAGTGGGACAATCCCGTATCTCAGTTGGGAGGCTATTCCACAAAGAGCTGCCTTTAACGGAGAGGACATTTTGTCCAAAAGTTGTCCGTCTATGGTGGACTTCACAGTCTCCTCTGGTTTCTGACCTAGTGCAGCGTCCAGTGTGTTTTTTGTGGATGAATTCCCCTAAGGGAGGGGGGGGGGGGGGGGGGGGTGGGGGGGGGGCAGTCCATGTAAACATTTATAAATAAAACACATACTTTTAAAAGACTTCAAATGGTCAAAACTCAAGAAATGGTGTTTCTCAAGGATGGTGCAGTGGTGATATGAATAAGGCTTTCTGTCAAACACCTTGATAGCTCTCTTGTACAGCTGTTCTATTGGTTTAAGGTGTGTGTGCACCGTTGACCCTAACACACTGTTTTTTGTTCGATAAGTAAGACTTAAACCAATGTATAGAAAAAATTGAAATGAGTCAGCTTTGTAAGGCAAGGCAAGGCAAGGTAAGGCAAGGCAAGTTTATTTATATAGCACTTTTCTGTACACGACAATTCAAAGTGCTTTACAAAACAAATTAAAATACTTTTTAAATCAAATCAAATCAAATCAAATCAAGTTTTATTTATAAAGCACATTTAAAAGCGATTTTTGGTCGAGCCAAAGTGCTGTACATGTAATAAAAACACATTACTACAATCACAATAAAAGACAATAAATTACAACAGATATATATAAAAAATAAAAATAAAACACAAGGAAAAGTCAGGAGTCGTGCTCCGCTCTAACTAGAAGGCCAGAGAGAAGAAGTGTGTTTTTAGTGTAGATTTAAAAACCCCTAGGGTCTGGGCCGACCTCACATGGAGGGGCAGAGTGTTCCAGAGCCTAGGGCCAGCTGCTGCGAAGGCTCGGTGCCCTCGGGTTTTAAGCCTGGTCTTGGGCACTACCAGCAGCAGCTGGTCAGCAGACCTTAAAGCTCTGGTTGGGGTGTAGCGCTGGAGGAGTTCAGCTATATAGGCCGGAGCCAGCCCATTAAGTGCTTTAAAAACAAATAAAAGGATTTTAAAATCAATTCTGAACCGAACTGGAAGCCAGTGTAGTGAGGCCAGAATTGGGGTGATGTGGTCACGCTTTTTGTGGCCAGTCAGCAAACGTGCAGCTGCGTTTTGGACTAGCTGCAGGCGTTTAATTGAGGCCTGGTCCATACCCACATACAGAGCGTTGCAATAGTCCAGTCTTGAGGTAACAAAGGCGTTAATAACCCTTTCTAAGTCATTAAAAGATAAATGCGACTTGGTTTTGGCCGATAGTCTTATTTAAAAAAAAGCAGGATTTGACTACAGTGCTGACCTGCTTGTCGAATTTAAAAGTGCTAGTGAAGGTCACTCCAAGGCAGTGGTTGCGTTAGACATTTTCGTTGTCCGTTATTTTGACGGACAGGATCGTAAAATTTCCGTCATAATCCATTATTACCCGTCATTTTATTTTTCATGTTTTAATGATGAGACATATTTAATATTTATGTTTGGGTACTAAGCAGCAAATGTTCATTCATTCCTTTTTTTTATGATTCATACAGAACTTTTAAGGGCATGGAGAAAAAAAAAGATGAACAGAAACACCGACCGTGCGGTCACTTTTCATGTCAAAACGAATATGAATGATTTATTTTTCCTTGCCACTTGCTTGTCCCTCTGCTGCTGGCTGAACGTTGTCAGTTTTAGTCTTACTGGCTTGTCCTTCATCCTCCACTGCATCAATCCCTCTTTTTTCACCTCGTTTATCCACACCATCACAATTACTGGGCTTATTAAAAAAGCTTCGGACACTCAGCTGCCGTGACATTTTGCGATTGCTAAAG